TGCACATAAAAGCATAAACACAGAACTCTCACTCCAGGAATTAATTCCTTTAAAGCCTCGTTCACCTGAAAGCCCAGACCAGCCATATCAGACTTGCTCTGTTTTACCCAGCCTTGAGAGGAATTTCATTTAATTTTTAAATCCTGCCTTTGAATGAGACCAGGAACAATTCCAAAGCCGCTGGTAAATATTTCCCAGTGTCTTCCTGGGGAAAGACTGAGCGACCCCGAGGCCAAATTCCCTCCTGCTTTATCCCTGTGTGCATTAGGCCCAGCTCAGACAGCTGCCTCAGAAAGTCCTCGGCTTAAATTTGTGCTCCCTGCTTCCCACGGGACCTGGTTTGGGTGACAGGGATGATTCCATGTCCTGGAAGAGTGAATTCACCTGTTGGGAGAAGGTTTGGATTCCCTGGGGGATCAGTGACCACCCTGTGTTCAGCCAATCAGGCGCATCCTACAAACACTCCCCACTAATTAACATCCCAATTAACACCCTCCTTATTCTTAATGAGCACTCAATCCCTTTATCTCCTCTTTTTTTCCCACTTTAAATGACCCTGTGGATGTGGATCACGCCCCAGTACGCACAGAGCATCACAAACCCACAACCAGCAGTGTGGAGAAATTAATATCTTAATCTCATAAAGATTTTTAAATATTAACTTAAGCTGCTGAGGATGGATTATGGACTCAGAAACCAATCACCATTTCCCCCTAAATAACTGTTAAATAGGAGAAATATGTCTGGTGTGGGAGAATCAATGTTCCATTGCTAAAAGGCCTGACTGCCATGGGAATATTTCTGGGCTCCTGACACCTCATTAAGTTATTTAACAACATCCCAGTTTATTGCGCTGTCCAGCGACCACAGAAATTCTTAAAATTAAGCAGAGAAAGAGAAAAATAAAAATAGGCATTTATCAGCCTCCCTACAGGAGAGGACACACCAAGGAAATGCGAAATATGGGAGAACAGAGGGTTGCAACACAGAGCAAATTCCAAATCTGCCTGTGAGTTCCACAGGGAATAAATATGCAATTATCCCATATTATATATATCCCATATCTGTGTCCTAGTGGGCACAGAACGTCTGCACAGAAAGCCTGGTCTCGCTGCTTCAGATTTTGTCTCCAGAGAGAGACTCTCCAGTTCTTGGAGCATCTCCGTGGCCTCCTCAGGACTCACTCTAGAGCTTCTCAGGGCCTCCCCACCCTGCCAGCCAGGAATTCCCAGTTCCCAATCTCCCATCCATCCCTGCCCTCTGGCAGTGGGAGCCATTCCCTGGCTCCTGTCCCTCCATCCCTTGTCCTCTCCTGGAGCCCCTTCAGGCCCTGCCAGGGGCTCTGAGCTCTGCCTGGAGCCTTCCCTTCTCCAGGGGAACATTCCCAGCTCTCCCAGCATGGTTCCAGAGGGTTCCAGCCCTGCAGCAGCTCCGTGACTCCTCTGGACTCTCCAGCAGCTCCAGGTCCCTCCGGACACCCCAGGGCTCTGCAGGTGGGCTCTCACGTGGGGGGCAGAGGGGCACAATCCCAATCCCTGTCCTGCTGCCCAAGCCGTGGGATCATCCCAGGCCATGGGGGATTCTGGGTCCCACGTGGTTGGGCCATGTCCAGATTTTCCTCCATTGACACGCCCAGGTCCTGCTCCTCAGGGCTGCTCTCCATCCCTTCCCACCCAGCTGGATTTGTGCTGGCATTCCCTGATCCCTGTGCAGGACTTGGTCCTGTTGAACTTCAGGAGCTTCCCATGGATCCACCTCTCCACGTCCCTCTGGATTTCAGGAGCAGCACCTCCACTTCCCTCCGTGAGATTACAACCAGCTCTATCCACCCACCAAATTTCTATTTATTATTCTCTTTTATCACCCAGAAATTGGTTTAAAGCTGAATAAAACATTCCAAATTAAATATTTTCTCTGCCGGCAGCAGAAGTGGCGACGTGACTCGGTCCCCACAGCAGAGCAGGACAAAACCCATTAGTCCTTGATTGCTGTGCAGGTAATAAAGGAGTTTTACAAGGAAAGGTCTGTGCAGGGCAAAGCCAAATTATTGCTGAGCAGCCTCAGAGCCCTGTGAGGCTGTCTCTTAAAACAAACCATTAACATATGCACAATTAGGCTGCCTCAATTGTTATGCCACAAGCAAAAATAAAATCCCATCTTGGAATAACTAAACAGCCTTTTAATTCCAGCGAGCTGGCGGGGGGAAAAATGTGTTAGCATTAAAGGAATGTGTTTTTTTAATCACATCTAAAAATAACATTTACATAACCACCTACCCTGACATTTCACATCAGCAAGTGTCCAGAACCGCCTCGCTCAGCTGTATTAAAATATGCAAACACCACAGGGTTTTAGCAGATTTTGGTTTCCTGAAAAAGAATTGCAGAACTCCCAACTTTGGAGGCAAGAGGGAAGTCAGAGTGGTTTCTGCTCTGGTTTAAATAAATCAGGTACAAAGTGTTCTTCAGCAGGACAGTGGTAGCCAGTGCCTGGGTAATTCAGTCACGGAATTGTGGAATGGTTTGGGTTGGAAGGGACCTTTGCTAAAAGGTGTTTCTTGTTAGGATCTAAAGATTGCCCAGAGCAGCTGGGGCTGCCCCTGCATCCCTGGCAGTGTCCCAGGCCAGGCTGGATGGGGCTTGGAGCAGTCTGGGACTGTGGAAGTGTCCCTGTCCATGGAAGGATGTGGAATGGGATGATCTCTCTGGGTGTGCACAGGTGAAAAAAAAAACCAAAAAAACCAAAAAAAACACCAACCCTGGATTCCTGGATTTGTGGATCTGTGAGGATGACTTTGGAGCAGGTGGTGAATGAAGAGCAGATTCCAATCCAGCTCTGTAGGACAATGCAGCTGCTTTTCTGACTTCTTCCAACCCCATTTCTTCTGCTCCAGCTCAGAAAGTGCAGGATGTTCTCTGGGAACATCTCTGAGATGCAGGGAAGCTGAAACGGGAATTCAGCAGTGTTTGACAAGTACCCAGAAACCCAGTTCCCATAAAAGAATTTGTAAAATCTCCCCTTTGTAAAATGAGGGTCTGAAGTGTAAGAGGAGGTTTGATTTGAATATTGGGAAGGAATTCCTGGCTGGGAGGGTGGGCAGGCCCTGGCACAGGGTGCCCAGAGCAGCTGGGGCTGCCCCTGGATCCCTGGGAATGTCCCAGGCAAGCTGGAGCAGCCTGGGCCAATGGAAGGCGTCCCTGCCCATGGCAGGGGTGGATTGGGGTGAGATTTAAGGCCCTTTCCAACCCAATCTTTCATGATTTTGAGATTTATCCAAGGATAAGGAGCAGCACATGGGAGTGCTTTGCTTGAAGCCCCTCCTGGTGCAATGCTGCTGCCTCCAAGGAGCATTTCCGAGCTCTCCCCATTCTCTGCTGACTTCCTACAAATCATTTGTTACTGAGATTGATATTGCAGTTATGTAAACATCCATTATTTATCTGCTCCGGCCCTTTGAACCGGATGAGTGCTCCTGGATTTCCATTATTCCGCATCTAAATTAATCATGGAGCATAAAATCAGTCACCATTTATGCAATATGAAAAGGAAAAAAAGATGTAAAAATAGCTCTGGTGGTGTTGAGATTTCATGCCGTGTTCCCTGGGTAGGAGCTATTCAGGCATCTCGCTTTTGTCTGCAGGCCTGTGAAATATTGATGGCTTTTTTTAAAGGAAAAAAAAAAAAAACTCTCTGAAAATTATCTCTCTCCTCCAGAGAAAGTTGTTCCCTGATCCAGTCATTGACTCCCTCGCCATGGGGAGCACTGCAGAATCCCATCCATGGGCAGCTTCCCATCCTCTGGCAAATCCATGTCCTGCATCCCACAGCAGGCTGGGGCTGGGATCTCCTCCTGGGCACAGCCAGGAGCCCCTGACACCTTTCTGGGAACGTTTGCACAGACCTGACAACAGAATCCCACAGGGCAGCAGGGAAGCGTGACGTGGGGAGCTCCAGGGAGATCTGACAGCCTCCTACAGGAAAGGTGGCTCGTCCCTGCTGGTTTTTAACAGGAATTATCACTTCTCCACAACCAAATGGGCCCTGCCATCCCCATGGAGGGAATGGAGCTGGTTGGGGACTTGGATTCAGCTCCAGGCACTTCATGGAAGCCCAGAATGGTTTGGGTTGGAAGAGATCTTGAAGCTCATCTCATTCGCTCTTTAGCCAAGGGCAAAGACACCATCCACTATCCCAGATTGCTCCAGCCTGGCCTGGGCACTGCCAGGGATCCAGGGGCAGCCCCAGCTGCTCTGGCAATTCCAGCCCAGCCAGGAATTCCCAGTTCCCAATATCCCATCCATCCCTGCCCTCTGGCACTGGGAGCCATTCCCTGGCTCCTGTCCCTCCATGCCTTGTCCCCAGTCCCTCTCCAGCTCTCCTGGAGCCCCTTCAGGCCCTGCCAGGGGCTCTGAGCTCTGCCTGGAGCCTTCCCTTCTCCAGACATCACACAAAATTCTGTGTGCTACTCTGGTCCAGCATCAGGATTTGGGAAACACCGTGAAAAGAAGTCAGGGAGGGGTAAGGAAAGGAGATCTTTGGAACAATTCTTTCTCTGCACTGGTTTTTCAGCACTTCAGGGATCCATCCCTTCGGTTTATGGTGTGTGATCAGCAGAATTAAGAAAGAGACCACTGAGAAGCTCAAATTAACACTATCATAGAAATAATTGGGCACAGAAGGCTTCTTTTAGGGATCAAAACCTCTGCTGGGCAGCCAGATCCTTACTGAGATGTTCTTTTCATTGGTGACGTTCCTCAAGCTTCAGATTGCCTCACAATCTGATCTGAGCCACCAGAAGCCAAAGGCACCATCAGCTTCCTCACACCCTTGTGAGTGAAGGAACAGCCACTCCAGTGGGAATATCCTGGCAATATCCTGCAATCTCCCAGCTCAATCCACTCCAGCTAATAATAACTGGCCTTGCTTCCCCTCCAGCAAGCGTGGCTGGAAGGAGGAACCTCTCCAAGCTTTAAATAACTCCTGGATTCCCCCCTCCGGACCTGTGCTCCAGCTGGGAGCAGCTTTCCTGTTTGTTTGTTTGTTCCTTTTTCCTTGCCATGATTGCAGAGAGGAAGGAATCTGGCTCCTACCTCCCTGAAGACCTCGGGCTTGGAGAGCAATTACTCAGCACTGCAGGCTCTGGTGCAGAATTAAAGGTCAGGGCACTTTTACTGGGGGTTTTTATTCCGGGCTTGCACGAGGTCACAGCTGATGATAAGCACATGTTCAAATCCACGTTTCCAAAGCAGTTCACTGTCCTGAAAGTGGCTGTGAAAATCCAACAGAGCCTTTTTAACCCTCTCTTTTCTCCTGATTTTAGGCAGGAAAAAGCCTTTGGAGCCAAATTCCAATGAGACGGAGAGAGGGTGGTGGTGGGACCTCTCCCTCAGGGGTTGTGCTTTTGGGTTTTTTACACAAACTCCCCCGAGCTGCCTCTCTCCTGGAGGTGCTGGCTCCTTTGGGGCCCTGGGGGATTCAATGTGCTCCTCATCTGTTTCTGAAAAGCAGCTCTGACCTTGGCTTGGCACAGGCTGGAATGGCAGAGGCTGGAGCTTCCAGCTGGAAGAATGGTTTGGAGGAAAACTCCAGCCAACAATTATCCCAGGGGCATTCCCTGCCTGACCATCCTGAGGCATTCCTATCCTGACCATTCTGGGGTATTCCCTGTTTGGAGCAGGGTCCCACCTGTCCTCATCCCACCATGCCTGAGGTCAGCTGAGGTTTTCTTGGCCACCACACACCAGGATCTTGCTGGGGGTGGAATTCTGGCTCTGTGGAGCTGGAAATGAGCTGTTGGAGGAGGGCTGGCAGGGGCCTGGGGCAGCTCCTGCCTCTCCTGACCCTGGAATGCTGCACTTCCAGCGCTGATGGATGGCCCAGCCTGACGGAGCCCCAGCCTGAGCTCAGCCAGATGTGAGATTAATTTATTGCACCTGTCCAAACAGAAAATATTCCTATTTTCTTGAGTTCCAGTGCCACGCTCAGGTGACCTCGGCCCAGCCTGGTGGGTCTGTCCCTGCTGGGGGTGAGGGAACACCGAGCATCACTCGTAATCCAAAGATGAATCAAGGCAGAAAATCCAGCTCCTTGGAGCAGGAGGCTGAGCTGGGGTGTGCAGGGGGAAAAAAACTCCAAGCTCTGCTTCAGCTGCATGAGGAGCAGCAGCAGCACAGTTTGTGTTTTAATTAATAAGGCAATAATTTGGCGTGGAGCATCTCAATGCGGCTGACTGCACGCTGCAGTCCTGCGGCGGGGGAGCAGCAGGGAAAGCTTCCAGCAGCACAGCCCGGGGCAGGAGGGATCTGCAGCCACCAGCAAGTGCTGGGCCAAAGCTGAGACTTCAAATTCCCAGCGAGTTCAGTGGGAATTCTGCCTGATTAAAGCTTGAGCCGCAGTCCAGGAATTTCTCTCTCTGCCGCAATCCAGCCAGGCTTTGCGCAGGAGCTTGGGAGCAATCTGTTCCCCTTGATGCAGGCTTTTCTTGGAGAGAATTCAAGTTTATTCCATTAGAAAGGGGTTTAGTCTTCCCTTTTTATGGTGGTGGGAAAGAAAAAACACTGGGTTTTCCCTGAGCTGTGACAGCTCAGATCTCACTTGGTTTTAACCTCTCCTGAAGGGAAAAGCTGCTAAAGGACTTTAGACTTGAGAAAGGACTTTAGACTTGAGAAAGGACTTTAGACTTGAGAAAGGAACATTAGAAATTGTTGTTCCTTATAATGAGGGCCAAAGGATCTCGGGGAAGTGAAATAGGATCATAATTAGGTGGGCACCTTCCTTTTGCCGGGTCAAGAAATTGGATAATTCAGCTGGAATTTCAAAGGGAAGAGCAATTGGAGGAAGATGAACTTCTGACCTTGTAATTACAAATCAGAGCTTGGCAGAAGGTGGGTGGCATCCTGCCCAAAATGACATGACAAAAATAAGAATCAGAAGGGCTAATAAACCACTGAACGGGGTCTGAAATAGCTCAGTCTTTAGGAATAAAAAAAAAAAAAAAAAAAGAAAGAAGAAAAAGAAGAATAAAAAAACCCAAGGAATAATTTTATTAGGAGAGATAGGGAGAATCAAAAGGAAAAGTGAAAACCACTTGCCAATAGAAGGGAAACAAAATCTTGGTGATAGCTGAGGGGATTTTTTCCTGGGGTGTTGCAGGCAGTGCCACATCCACACATTTTTTTGGCACTTTCAGGACGGACACTCCCTGTGCCAAAGCAAAGAGATTTTTCTTGACTTCAAGGAATGGGAGGAAAATTACAACAGACATGATGTCCTAACCTTGTCTGCTTGCTGGTTTGGGTGCTTTGCTGGATGGTGGGGTCAGGGCAGGTTCTTTTGGGGGGATTTTTGGGGTGCAGACACCTCCAAGCTCCCCTCATGCCTAGGGACATCCCACCCTGCCCTACCAGCTGCTTTTCCAGCAGGAAAACCAGAAGCTGGAAGAAAAAAAACCTCTCAGCCCCCTAAGGAAAGGCCCTGCCTTTGTCACCAGCTCTCCTTGCACAAAGCTCACTTTATTTTCTCCCCAGCATTCAGGTCTCTGTCTAAAGAAAACACAGAAAACATTCAGAGACAATTTTTTTTTTCTCTGCTTTGTTTATCAGCAAGATTAAGATTCCTGGCTGTGGAAGAAAGGAATATCTCCATTTATTTGTTTCAGGGCATGTGGAGAGCATTTGTTTCCTAGGATGCAAATTCATTGTTCCTGCTCTGAATGAAAGCCCCGGTGCCAAGAGCTGCCATCGGATTGGGATCTCTTGGCACCGTTTTTGCTGGAACTCCACGCTCAGAGCAGGGATTTGTAGCCTCCCAATATTCTACCACTGGAAAAGCTTTCCCAGTTTAATTCTTAAACTTTCTTTCAGATGATTTCTCCTTTGCTAAAGTCCTGCCGTGCCTCAGGGTGGGATTTTGGGATGTGGATCACGCCAGCAGCCCTGGGGTGCTGCACCAGCTGCCTGCACCACCAAAAAGGGCGAAATTGGGCGTTCAAATGCGATTGGCTGCACTTCCTAATTCCACTTTTTGTTTATTTCTCTCCCCCACGATTTTTTAAAATTAGGATTTACACACACACACAAGCACATCCCGAAGTGCAGCTGCGGCTCCAAGTGCCACCAGGCAAAGCTGCAGTGTGAAATTCCGTGGGATGACCCCCCCCAGCTCCCTGTTTGTCCCCAGGGTGGGCAGAGCCCTGTCCCCAACCCGGCTCAGGGGCTGCCACCCCCCATTAGCTGCAGCAGGGGATGGCACGTTGTGACATGGCTGTGCCTGACATGCCATGTCACCCTGGGAGATAATGACTTGGAAATTTGTGCTAATAATTGTTTTGACTGTTCCCCCGGAATGAGTGGGTTTGGTTAGGGTTTTTTTTTTTTTTTTTTTTTTTTTTTTTTTTTTTTCCAGCAGATGTCTTGCACTTAAAGTGATTTTATTAGGGAATTGTTGTTATTTTTTCACACAGAAAAAATACCTGTGCCAGCTGGAGGTTGGGAGTTGGGATTGACATCCCTGCAGCCCCTCAGGATGGCTCTCCAGGGAAGATTTCCCAATTCCAACTCCTTGTAACCAAACCCTGCTGCCCAGACACCATCACCTTCCTCAGGACCACGACTCTGATGCCTTCACCACTGAGTAAAGGAATTTTATCATGAATATCCATGGCAGGATCCGTGTCCAGAGAGGAACAACGGAGCTGGGAAGGGGCTGGAGCACAAGGAGTCGCTGAGGGAGCTTGGAAGGGCTGAGGGTGGAGAAAAGCAGGATCATGAAGGGAAAAGCTCTGCATTAAAGCCTTCCTCAGACTCCCCTCACTTTTTTTTTTTTTTTTCCCACATGTTTTTTCCCACTTTTTGATTTTCCCCACAGGGCAGGAGAGACCCTGAAGGGAACAGAGCTGGGAAAGGGCTGGAGAATCCCTGAGGGAGCTGGGAAGGGGCTCAGCCTGGAGCACAGGAGGATCCAGAAGGGAAAAGCTCTGCAGCAGAGCCCTCTCCAAATTTTCCACACTTTTTTTTCCCCTCATGTTTTCTCCCACTTTTTGAATTTCCCCTCACAGCAATGGAGACCCTGAGGGGCTGGAGCAGGGTCAGGGAAGGGAATGGAGCTGGGAAGGGGCTGGAGAATCCCTGAGGGAGCTGGGAAGGGGCTCAGCCTGGAGCACAGGAGGATCCCCAGGGATCTTTTCCCTCTCTGGAATTCCCTGCCAGGAGGGCACAGCCGGGGGGGTCGGGCTCTGCTCCAGGGAACAGGGACAGGAGCAGAGGGAACGGCCTCAGGCTGGCCCAGGGCAGCTCAGGGGGGATTTTGGGGAAATTCCTTCATGGAAAGCGTTTTCCAGCCCATGCCAGCAGTGAAGTCCCAGATGTTTTGAGCAAGGAATGCCAGGTTTGCAGTGGAAATGTCTGGCTGTGTTTCTGCAGGGCCCTGGGCCTGGGCTGGGCGTTTGGGGCTGAGAGCCCTCCTTGTGCTCCTGCTCCTCTGCTCCTGGGCCATTCCAAGGATTTTCCAGCCATCCGAACCCCCTCATGTGGGCGAGCCTCATCCTAAAAATCAGCACATCTGGGATCACATCCCAGTTTGGCCAGGCTTTCCCAGCAGGACAGGATCTTTCCCCAGGCCCACAAGAAGGCCTCTCCCTTACAGAATCACAGAATCCTTTAGGATGGGAAAGACCTTTAAGATTTGGGTTTGGGAAAGAAAACAACCCAAGAAAAACACCAGGAAAAAAAAATCTAATTACTTGGGAAAATTACAGCAAATTAAGTTAGATGGTTTGGTTTCCTCCCCAGCAAAATCCAGCAGAAATTTCTGGCTACACTCGGACTTACAGAGTTGCAACAGCACCTAAATATCCAGAGTTTCCCCATCTTTGGAAGACAGCACTCCAGAGCTTTGTGGTCATGTTTCCTGGAAAAATCAATCCTCTTCTCCCCAAAAAAACCCCCCAATTTACTTTTAAAAAACCCAGTTTATATAAAAGAAATAAATTAATTTAGCAGCATTGAAGTCCATTTCAATTTGACTTGTGAATTTAGTTCTGTATAGACATTTATATTATTAAATAGGGTGCAAAGCCTTAATTAAATAAACTTTAGCTCTTGCTGCAGGATTTTATCAGGGAAACCCAAACAATCCCTTCTGACATCATTTAACTTCTCCCTCTTTCTTTCCCTTTTCCTTGTCAAAATATTCATCCCAACTGGCACGTTCTCCCTGAGTATTTAGATTTTCGCAGACATTTTTACAACCTATTTGCATTTTTGTGGAAAAACTCTCCCATCTGTTTATTTCCCTCTTGCAACTGGCTGGGATGACTGGAATTGGAGAGATCAGGAAAGACCCCAGAGTAGCTTTCCCTGGGCTCAGTCCTGGTGCTTTCTCCTCAGAGACATTATCTTATCTGCTTGGAGATCATGTCCTTGAAACCAAATTATCCACGACATCCCTATTCCACAGTATCCAGCAGGTAAAATTTAGAAAATTCCTTGCAAACCTCCAAACAAAACCCTTGCTGACAAAGGCACCATCGGAATCTGAGCTGCAGATGTAGCCCGAGGTGAACAGCACATTTTGCAGGAATATTGTGAATATTTTCATATCATATGGGCTGCTCTGACAAGCAGAGAGACTGTTTTCCCTTTTAAATGAAATAATAAATAAAATTTAAAAAGTAGGGCTGCAGGAGGATGGGTTTAGGTGGGATATTGGGAAGGAATTGTTCCCTGGGAAGGGGGTGAGGCCCTGGCACAGGGTGCCCAGGGGAGCTGTGGCTGTCCCTGGGTCCCTGGAAGTGTCCAAGGCCAGGCTGGTGTCCAAGGACAGTGGAAGGTGTCCCTGCCCATGGTACGGTATGAACTGGATCAGTTTTAGGATCCCTTCCCACCCAAACCAGTCTGGGATTCTCTGGTCCAGCATCCCAGTCCCTCTCTGTGACTGCTTCAGGCTCTGTTGCTGGTTCCTTAAAAGATAAACCCCATGAGGTTATTCCCCCCTTTTTCTGTAATTTATTTAGCGCCAAGCAGGAGGAATTCAGTCCCTGGAGTGCACCTGGTGTCACTTTTATCCATAAATTCCAGACTGTTAAAATCCACGTGGATGTGGCACTTGGTGACACAGCTTAGCCGTGGCCTTGGCAGTGCTGGGGAAGAAGTTGGACTTGATAATCTTGGAGGTCTTTTCCAGCCTAAACAATTCCCCAGTTCTAAATTCCTTCTCTGGGCAGCTCCCAGGGTGAATTAAGCATTGCTGGAATTGCTGGATGCTGCTAGTGCTCCACAGCCAGCTCTTGGAATTAATTCACTGTTGGAAGGTGGATCGTGCTCAGAACAGGAAAATTCCACAGTAATTAATGCAATAATATCAAAAATAAATAGTGTTTGTACACATAGCCAATGCTGAAAGTGGGGTCCCTCCCAGTCCTGATTTTTCCCAGCATCAGGTTCCAGTGGGATGGGCTGTGCTGGACAAGCAGAGCCCCTGGGGAGCCCAGACTTCCTCCCTCCTGCTCTGAGCCCTCAGGACAATTGTGAGTCAATAACCTTTTCCTGAAACCACTTTATACTCAACCGTTATTTTTTTCCTCTGGCATTGTTCCTTCTTTCCCAGGGGAAATGTCCAAGCCCTTATTGCTCGTCAGGAGGTCACTGGGAACGATGTTATCACTCCATGGGGTCCCAGCACTGGCTGCAGGTGAGCATGAGCACGGCACATCTGGAGCACTTTAACATCTGTATCTGCATCCAGGCCCCTCGTGGGGCAGAGAAAAAGAAAAACCACCAAAAAGCCACCTGCAAGGGCTAATCCAGGGGAAAAAAAAAAAACAAAAAAAAGTGCTATAACAAGGTTTTTACAAGGGCATGGAGTGGCAGGACAAGAGGGATGGATTCATACTGACAGGGCAGGGTTAGATTTGTGATTAGGAGGGAATTCCTGGCTGTGAGGGAGGGGAAGCCCTGGCACAGGATGCCCAGAGAAGCTGTGGCTGCCCCTGGATCCCTGGAAGTGTCCCAAGCTAGGTTGGAGCAGCCTGGGATAGTGGAAGGCAAGAGTGCCATGGCAAGAGTGGAATGAGAGAAGCTTTAGGGTCCATTCCACCCAGTCTGTAATTCCAGGATCTCTCTTCCCTGGCTTTGCAGAGCTCCTTGGATAAACACTGTAGGTGTGGTCCCGACCTGCTGCTGGCTGGGGAGAAGATTTTACGTCACAGAATCTTGAAATCCTTTAGGTTGGAAAGGACCTTTAAGGTCATCATGTCCAGTTGCTAAGATGTTATTTACAAATCTGTTTTCTTCACCTCAGTTACTACATTTCGGAGAAAAGCTGATGTTTATTCACTAAAACATTAAATAAATCCAGCAGTGCCACAGTTTGTTCCCAGTTATCTTTTCACAAGGTTATTCCTATATCCACGGGTTCTCCCCCACTATTTTCTCCCCCTCCAGACAGCAGCATCCACAGGACGGGAAGTGCTGTTGGCCCATCCCAATTTAAATTTTTGGGCATTCACAGGGGCTACAACCACTGTTTTCCACCTTTGTCTCACAGCTGAGTTCCCCAGGAACATCTCAGCCCTCACCAACTTGCCCCTGAGCCTGGGTTCCATTTTAAACATGGAAAGTTTTGTTCCCCATGAGATTTTGAGCACCCCCAGGCCAGGGGGTTGTGCTGGAAAAGGCCCCTCATGGCTCAGGAGACTCCTGGGATCACCCTGGGGAGTGCCAGGCGCTGTCCTCAGTGCCACCCTCGGAGGGGACAGCTCTGCAGCCTGTGTCCCCTCTCCATGGGATGTCCCATGCCCAGGGAGCTCCTGGAATCCATGGGAAGTGATCCAGCCCTCAGTGATGCAGTTACCACAGATCCAGGCTTTGCTTGGAGCTGGACACAGGGATGTGGTGTTCCCCACTGCCCACATCCCAAACCTGCCAGGCAGGAGCTCATCCCACATGGATGCAGAACCTGCCCTGCTCTCATTCTGGTGCCACAGGTGATATTTGGTGGGAAGATTTGAGCTTGGAACCACAAGAGCTGTTGGAATTCCCCCCTTTTTCATGGATAGAGCTGCACAGCTCCGACAGCCGTATCCCACTGCTCCCAGTTTGCCTCCCAGATCTTCTCCTGTGTGCTGGAACAACCTGCAAGAGCCTCAAACCCTCCTTCCCTTCCACTTGTGACCATTGGCATGGTGACAGCCAGCAGATAATAAAGATCACAGCCCAAACCCTTGGAAAAGGCAGCACTGCTCCCACTGGGAATGCTTCAGTCCATGGGTTTGTCTCCAGGAGAGCCCGGAGGCTTGGGAGCTGTTTGGAAAAGAGAATCCAAAACTCATCCTATCAAACCAAACTGGCAGGAAAGGATCCATTTTGGCTTGCCCCTCATTTCATGGATGTGGAGAAATCCACACGCATCCCATTTACGGCTTCGAGGAAATTTCTCCTGGCCCGACCCATGTTGGACATATGGAATCCATTTTCCCTCACACCTGGCCACATATATTTGTTATGAAAGGTTCATGACTCCACGGGCTGTGTGACCTGTTCCCAGGGTGACTGGAGTTAAATGTGTTTCCTGCTCTCCCAAATTCCATATAAACCGAATAAACCAATCCATAGATCCCTGGTGTAATATCCTGAGCCTACAAACACACGCAGGCAATAAGTCAGGGAGGAGGGAAAAATCCAGTTGCTGCTTCCCATTAGTGAGCAGCTGTGAGGGGAAGGGAAGGAAGGCAGGAAAAACCCAGGAAATTCAGGGAACAACAGGAATTTTGTTGCTCTCAAGACCTAAACCAGTTTCAAGCCCAGTTTCTGATCTCAGAGCCAATGGTCCATGTGGAAAAGGTGATTTTGGAGCCTCAGGGAATGGGAATGATGCTCCATACACTGGGGTGTTCAGGCATCATTTCGCTGCACTTGTAATAGATAAAGGAAGCTTCCACAAAATATAAAGAGGGAATTTTTCCATGGGCAGGTGGGGACTGGACAAGGGGGAACAGTTTAAAACCGAATGAGAGGAGATTTAGATTAGAAATTGGGAATTAATTGTTCCCTGTGAGGCTGGGGAGACCCAGGCACATCCCTGGAAGGGTCCAAGGCCAGGTTGGAGAAAACTGGGACAGTGGAAGGCATTGGGTGTGGAACCAGATGAGTTTTAAGGTCCCTTCCAACTCAAACCAGTCTGGAATTCCATGATTCCATGATTCTTTGACTATCACAGCAGTGCTACAGAGGGTCAGGAAGGGCTGTTGGATGCTCTGGATAATTCCTCCCCCATCCTGCATCCTCCAGCAGGGCACAGCCACACGCTGCATCCCCATGGCCCTGACCTTTCCAGAGAAGACAAGTCAGCTCCTCTTAGGATCAGCAGCTGGCATTTATGGCTGTGGCCTCTACATCCCATAAATGCAGTGCCCTGCTTGTCATCCCAGCCCTCCACCCCGCTCCCGTTCTGCTCACCTGATACACAGCACAAAAATCCACCCCAATAACAACAAAAAAGAGTCACTTTAGGGAAGGAGAGCAGAACAGGGATCAGCTCCACACATCCCAGGAGATTCTCCCTTTCCCTGGGGAGAATTTTCCCTCAAGGAACCAGAGCGAGAGGTTGTGCAATGACTCTGTGCTGATGCAGCAGCACGAAATACCAAGCGAATCCCTTCCAAAATAGTCGAGTTGGATGCCATTATTTCCTGTTGGTAGACAGAAGGAGAGTGGGAAAAACTCCTGTTTTGGGAGCCAAGCGCTGCTGAGGAAAGCGATTAGCAGATGGCGTGGAAATTAGCTCATTATTATTAATTTGCCAGGCCTTTCCCAGTTCCTGAATTGCCCTTTGGAAGTTGCAAAGCAGCGTGTGCATATGGACAAAAGGAGGCTGCTTTTGGCAGAGCAGCTAATTAAGAGCTGTGCCACCCACTCCCTGAATGGGAGCCCTTCCCACCTGCCCCATCCCGGATTTGGGATGAGCGGCGCCGGGATAATGCTCAATAGGGAGCC